TACTCACTCAAATTTGGTTTCTATCCATAAACAAAGGACATTGAGCCTATAATTAGTGATCCTAGAGAAGCTAAATAAGGAGAACCCAAAGAAAAACATATAGGCATCCACCTGAATATTAACCTTCATCAGGCGATGAAAGGAGACAGAGATAGAGACCCACATTGGAGCACCGGACAGAAATCTCAAGGTCCAAATCAGGAACAGGAGAGAGAGCACGAGCAAGGAACTCAGGACTGCGAGGGGTGTACCCACACACTGAGACAATGGGGATGTTCTATTGGGAACTCACCAAGGCCAGCTGGCCTGGGTCTGAAAAAGCCTGGGATAAAACCGGACTCGCTGAACATAGCACACAATGAGGACTACTGAGAACTCAAGAACAATGGCACTGGGTTTCTGATCCTACTGCACGTACTGGCTTTGTGGGAGCCTAGACAGTTTGGATGCCCACCTTACTAGACCTGGATGGAGGTGGGGGTTCCTTGGACTTTCCACAGGGCAGGGAACCCTGATTGCTCTTCGGGCTGAGGAGGGAGGGAGACTTGATTGGGGGAGGGGGAGGGAAATGGGAGGTGGTGGCGGGGAAGAGACAGAAATCTTTAATAAATAAATAAATTTAAAAAAAAGAAGGAAAATCACAAAAGCAGGGTCTACTAACCCTCTATTGTGTTTCTGTTAAGTTAATACAGTTTGTTATAAGTCAATGACTTTCTATTTTTTAATATTGCTAGTTATATCTGAGCTATGTTACATGATATTCGATACTCTGAAAGGGTAAAGAACAGCAAAATTTCATTAAAGCCAATTTTAATATGATGCTTAATCTGATTGAATATAGAGTACAGACCCCCTCTTTTCTTTTAGTAAACCTGCTCATTATTTTTTATTAAAACTTCAGTTTTTGAGATAATTGTAGAAAAGCTTGGAGTCATAAGAAATAATGGATTCCTTGTACCTTTATATGGTCCCATTCAATGTAAAATTTGTAAGTGAATAATAAAATAATACAAGTAAGATTAATAAAATCTGGCCTCATTCATATTTCCCCAACTATACTTGCATTCACTAATAATCACAGAATCAAATACATAGGGTGGGGCAAACACATAGAGTGTGTGGAGGTAAGGAAAAGCGAAGGGCTCAGTGCTGCCTGAGGTCAACCTTTGGTAGGAAATAGCGGAGAACAGGGCAACTTGGCAGTGTCATGTTTGTGGTCTTCTAACTAGAGGCCAGATGGAGCTGAGGAAGTATGGTAGGTTTGTTTGCTCTTGCTTTTCTAGAAGAGTCCTAAGAGTTCTTGTTGTCAACTATGGGTTAACATGTCTTTTGTGGTATCCGAACTCATAAAATAATCTATCTTGAACTTTCCAGACTTTTTTTTTTGTTTTAGTTTACCTTTACAGAGAGCAATAACTGATTAAGAAGCTAATGGTTATGAATCTCCATTGTATAACTTTTTATTCTCTAATTGTATTTCCTTCTTGCCCAAGAAATTGCATTGATCTTTATCTAAAATTCATCTCTTTGTTGAGCCTTGAGTCTACTTAAGGTTTGTGACTTTCTACCCAAATTTTCTATGATTTTAGAATGTACATTCCCTTAAGAATACCAAATGAAAAATTCCATCAAAAACAAAGTATATATCTATAAAGTATCCAACCAACTAAGGAGTGGACACAGGAAGTCTATGGAGTTTCAGAAACTTCTTTTAAAAGTTTTGCCTAAACTCTGTTCTTGGACAAAGCAAGAAAAAGCAAATGTATTTACCTAGAAAATTTAATGAGAGTCTGCTCAGATAAACCTATAATGATTTAAATTCAGTGTTTTTATCTTCCCTTAATAAAACATTTGAATCCACCCTAAAGCAAACATATTGAGACTTTTTATAAGAGGTAAAAAATGAAACAGATTAATAGCTTGAATAAAAAATAAGGCTTCCAACTGAGCACCAAAATCATTACCTTCTTTGAAGAAGTTAAAAGATCTTCTACTATTGGCTGTCTTTCTGCATCTAACTTTCTTCACTTTTGAGTACAGATGTCTATAACTTTTACTCCAAACAACTTATGGGGAAAATTAAACACTCAAGTTCCCTGTAGTTTAAGAAACAGCTGGAACTGCGATGACAACTATAGAAAGGGCCCAACTTGTCATCGTGTCAGCAGGAGGTGGAGGAAGACGCTATACATGCTCTGAATTGAAGAGCAGAGGTGCGCGTCTCTTCCCTACACAAATATATCATGGTAGGCTTTCTTAGCCATGCCTGCTGAGATAAGGCAGGGCAGGCAGTGCACTTTCATTCTAATACTAGAGAGCTTCTCAAGCTCAATGAGTCCTCCTTGTTTCTCAGCAGTTTGTGATCAATGAGGATATATAAATTCCTTTCTGGAATCTTTTCCAAGCCCTACACCACCAGATAAACACATGCTAAACCTTTTTAATAAATGTCTCCAATGATGCAACCGCACATAATCAGATATTAGTACAAAAGTTACTTCTGGTCTGAAGAAATTTAAAGAAATATAAATCTAACTTTTGAGCCATAGAAGTTTAAAAGCAATTAAGGCCAAGGTAAAAGAACAAAACAGCAAGTTTAATAAAGTATATTAAAACATTTCTGATTATTAATACAGCTACTTATATTTTCATAAGAAAATATTCAATGATCTATTTTCATTTTTACCACACTTTTTAAAAAATTCTCGGAATGTCATGAATGCCTGCCATTTTAGAGTTTGGAAAGAGGGTGAAGGGAGAGAAAAAATAGTTACTCAAAAACCTGTGAGATGGTAACATATGTTTTTGTGTTTATCTGTATGGCATAAATATAATTGGAGTTTTCTTCCAAATTAAAAGATATTTCAAAAAAACAGAAAGAAAGAAAGCAGACCATCAAAGAATTTAAAAGAAAGAAGGAAGAGGAGAAGAAGCGGGTAGGGAAAACTTGAATATTCAAGTGAAATAAAGTCACACTGCTTTCAGGAAACCTTTCCTTACTGAAACTGACAACAAACACCACTCCTAATAGACTAACACAAAAGCCCTGCCTTGAAGGTGAGCAGCAGAAGAAAACCCGTATTTCCAATGATGGTCGCCTCACTAAATGCCACTATTATTTTCTATTACTGGACTTCTCCCACAGGAAAGAAGAAATGCCAAATAGGAGTCCCTCCCTTGAGGTTCATGGCCATGATTATAATTGCAGGACTTCACAGAGCGTCAGGCCAGTTCTTGTCAGAGTAAATCAAGAGTAGTACATTATCTATGCTTGGTTGTAAATGGCTCCATCAAAAATGTTATGATCTACCCCATAATATACCTGTAGCCATGGAGGTATCCATATGCTTACTATTAATATCTAAATCCTTTTAACTAACATTTAAATATCTAGATATTTTCCTGTCAATTTCCCTTTCTCATGTAGTTAAAAAAAACACCTCACAGACTCTCCCTCGGTAAAATTTCATCATTTTCCTCTCCAATACCACACACACATACACATACACATACGTACACAAAACAAACACAAAAACAAAAAGTCTTGTCAACACTACAGGTTTACTCACTCAACATGTCACAGTTCTGCCATCTCTATTTCCCATTGTCATTTGAAATTATGCCCTTCGAAATGGCAGCGTTAACACAATAAGGAAACAACATTATAAAATACCTTGTTGGACATCTTTAGGTAACACAGTAAGGAGAAATCTCACAGGACGGCACCCATAGAGAAAGAACTACAGATAACTAACGCAAGGCTGAGAGTGGGAGATATCGTCTTCCCTGGGAATGAGCCCTAACTGGCTAACCACTAACCAGTGGTCAGCCCTAAAACATCCAAATCCCATACATACAAGTAACACTTATCGAAATGAGCAGGTTGCATTCATATAACAGTAACAATTAAAGAAAAAGAGGCCCTGCTTTTGAGGGGCAGCAAGAGGAGGAAGTACTTGGAAGGGCCTGGAGGGAAGGGTAGAAAGAATGCAATCATTTTGTAACATTAAAAAATCTTGTTATATAGAAAATCCAAAGCTACAAGAAAAGTAGCATTTTTAACCACCTAACTTTTTATCAGTAGTGTTAAAACCATTACATTCTGCAGTCTGACAGCACTATACATAATACCTTCTTTAATTTTCCACAGCATGTCTCTTCAAATCTGGCAGAACTCCACCCTTTCTTGATAAATTACACAGGATTGGCGGTGTGGCTTGGCAGTACAGCCCTAGCTAAGCATGCCCCTTATAAACAGACTAAAAGTTACATAAACTATAATGAAGGACACCCATCTGCAAGCACACTTCCATCCTACGGCAGGATTCAAATGTGTCACCATTCTTAGACAATTCTCCTAAAGAAAGCTATGTGCACCAAGTTTGAAAAACCAGGGACCTGTAAAACTTGTATTCCCGACATACATATCTTATACCCACTTCTAAAATATTCATACTCCACAGCATTTGTCAGTTCACATTTTATCAAATACGTCTTATTTATAATTCTGAAAAATCTATAAATGCCAAAGCTGATTTTGTCTCCTTGAAAACAATTTGATGAAAACATGAATGTAACAATAAAAACACCAACTGCAAATAATTCACTCACTTCACAGTCACTTGGGATTTAATCTATTTCAAGAGGCAGCTGAGTGACTCTGTGACTGAGAATGAACACTGTCATACATGTCTACCGAAGTCTGCAAATGCTTGTTTCTGAAATAACTATACCCTTGTAGCACAAAACCCACTCACTAACTAGTGCCATCACCACTAGTCCACATGCCCTTGTTCTCTCTGCATTACCTACTGCGGGACAGATCCTTAGGAAGTGCTGCCTTAGGAAACTTGGTAATCTGAGCAACGAACTCAAAGCTCAATAGAAATACCACCAAGAAAGACCTAAATAAAAAGCTTAAACACTCAAGCAATTATTGGCCTAAGTTCACAGTAAACATAAACTCAAATCTGTTTGAAAACCAACAGTCCTAGGCTTACTTTCAGGAGATCCTTGGAGAAATCCACACCTTCATTTACTCCTTGGAGATTTGTAATGAACTCTTGGCAGGTCATCTTCTTTCCAATATTCTAGAGCAAAGGAAAATATAATTTATAATTATAATAATAAAGAATTAAGATGAATTCTTTAAAATGTGGGTAAGCAAATTTTGAACATGTGTGTGTGTGCGCGTAGACGCACGTGTGTATGATAATAAAACTTTAACATAAAAAAGACACATAGCTTATTATGTTTTTAAAATTGTTGTACTGTATAAATCATAAAGTTATGTTAAATCTTAATTTTAACCCAAACAAAAATCTGCAAAATGATGCTGCATTTATACAGGTTTAAACTTAAAACATGGATTAAAATGCCATTTCTGAGCTGAATTAATAGGTTTGTATTTCCTTACATTTAAGTACACTGAAGGTCCTCAGATTTATTTACTTTGAAGTTAACAGATTATCTTATCAGCAGAGGAAATGACTCTCAAGTAAGATAAGCAGGAATTCATGCTTACCATAATAGGAACCAGAAAATGCTAACACTATTTGAATTGCCTGAGCTGCAGCTCGCACAAACTGAACAGGGGCAAATGACACACACTTGTACAATGTAGTAGGCTGCTTTTTATAGTGAGCCTCTAAGCCTAAGAAATGAGGATCTCTGCTAATGCACAAAGAGTATCTTCCCCTCCCATCCAGAGAGAAGCATCACATCCATCTTCCAATGCAGTAAGCAGAACCTCAGTACGGCTCCTACCAAAGCCGCTCACTTGAGAAATAGAACAACTCACAGAAGAACCAAAAGTGCTCTGGCACGTGCAGGGGAAGGATGCAGACCACAGAGAGGCAAGCAGCGCCTCTGGCAGTATGCCAGGCAGGTGAACAAAGGGTGCAGCAACATTCACGTCTGTATACAACAGCTTTACAGGGATGCTGCCCAAAGCTATCGCGTTGCCTCATAGATAGCAGCGGTGTGATCCGAACCACAGCCCTCAACGTGACTCAGCACATGCTCCAGAGACAAAGAGTACAGGTACTCACTGAGAGTCTGACAGCAGCAAGTACATACACAGAACCCCAGCTTCCAGGACACACCCGTTTCTTCACAGGAACTGCCTCGCCTTCCCTGCCTTCACTCTAGAAGCTCTCCCACCCAGGCTATCTAAATATTTAGAGTGGAAACGCTAAAACTGTTTTGTCAAAACCCTTGCCTCTTCCATCAGCAAGCAGGCACAAATTTCATAGGAAAGACTGGATGAACAGCTTGACACTAAGAACAAGCCTTGCCAATCAACTTATTCAGTAGTTATTGCCAATGAATTAAGTCTTCAGTTCTTAAGTTTTGATGGTTTCTTTTCTTATTTAAAGCACAGGAAGGAACTTTATTTAAAATGTGCTTTGAAATGGTGCACCAAAACCGACAAATTTCAATTTTCATACTCCTTTCTTAGGTCAACCAAGGTATCTCAAGGTATGAGCAAATCATTTCAACATGAGTTGGCAAGGCCTTTTTACGTTCCAAGAACATAAGAAACAGCAATGAATAATCATTAAGCAATTACTTCTTTTAAAAGTCTTTGCTTTTAACAAAAAAATCTAAAGACTCAATATAATCACTAATCACACAAAAATATTTTAATGTCAGAGACATTCAAATTCTTTTTAAATGTGAACATTATTTTACTTATAACAAACTGTTAATTACCAACTATAAATCATTCTAAAATATACTTAACATGTGATAACATATTTCATTTTAATTTGTAGGCTTTATTGCAAATAAAATTTATGATCCAGAAAAATTCTAAGTATAATAACCTAACACAAGTAAACTTTAATAGAAAATTAGACTTAAACTATAAATTCAAGGAGAAATATAAAGTAAAATAGTGTTTCATTGGTGGATTTGGGCAAAGGAAGGTGGGAACTTTGTGGAAAGCATTCACCACTAAGACGATTGATAATTCATGAGGTTTTTAAGGAAATCTCAAAGTTACCATGAGTTTGGAAGAAGTTTGTTGAAGCTTTCATGAAGATGCTGAGGAGTTTAAGAGTTCAATGAAGTGGTAAGAATAACAAAAGAAGTAAAATTAGAATAAGCCCAAAAGACAGGGCTGATTTGTTATAATCAGAACAAAAATCACAGGAACAAGTGCTGTGGGAACTCCTTCAGCCAATATTCTTTAAGATACTGGCCCACGTTGTTGATTATAACAAAATAGTCCCACACTAACCCAGAATGCAGTATAATAAAGGTTTCTTTATTTAGGGATAGACTCACAGATCAGCAGTACTCTGCATGAGCAGGGAACAGGAACTAAATCCAGCAGCCAAAGGACCACATATGATTTTACATCTGCATATATAGTACACGTGACCATGCTTGCTTCCTTCTTGGTAAAACTGGCCTTTGGGCAAAGAACTGCCCATGTCCCAACCACTGACAAAATGTACAGTGTCCAGACTAGACAAGCAGGATACAACAAAAAAAGACTGTCAAACCTTGCCAAGACAGGTTAAGATGATTTTGAAAATTTTTCTACCTCTGAAAATGGTTGGTCAGTTACTCAAGGTCTTGGGCAAAGTTGGTTGCTCCAATGTTGTAAACGAGACTTTGGGTGATTGCCCAGGTAGCCAGTTGTCTCTGTCATTTATTGTACATTTTGGAAGTTGCTTGATTGTGCTTCCTGTTTACTCAAGTAATATTATTTCCCTTCTCAGGTCTTTGATGAGGTTGAAGACTAGATAGTCATGGTAACTTTCCTCTCATGACTTAGCCAAGCCATTTCTAATACAAGTCTTAGATCCCTTAGGATAATTTAACTAGTGAAACATTTAGCATATGTTTTTTGCTTGATATTGTTTTTGCTGGCTATAATTCTAATTTTTATACTTGATATTTGTTCTTATAATAAATATACATATACAATAAGTTTTGTATTAGGTTTAGAACTCTTTCATTTTGACAAAATGGGAGAGGTTATTTGCTTTGGTTGTATTAATATATACTATTCATAAAGAATATTAATATTCTTGTGATATCTCTCCATTTTGATATCTGGCTAATCCTATTCCCACAGGAGCCTGAGAAGTGTCCCTCTCCCATTTTCTTTACATCTGTGATATGCTTCACAACTTCAGCCGTGCAATGAGCTTTTCACCGTAGAGAGAGCTTTGTTTACTAAGAACTTACTACAAGTCTATTCAGAGATTAGACTTCGGAGTTGCAGTAGTTTATTGCTTTGTTGTTCATTTCACCTAAATTACCTATATTCTGTTGACATACAACTATTGACAGTATTTCTACAAAGTCCATCAATACTCCTTCTTACTGCATTTTATAATATGAAACTTCTCTTTTTTATGGACTGAAGTGTCACTGACAGTGGGCTGAAAAAGTGGCTCGGCAGTAAGTAACAGTGACTATTCTTTCAAAGGACCTTAATCCAATTCCCAGCATCCACATGGTAGCACACGACTGTAAGTCCAGTCCCATGGGATGTGATACGCTCACATATGAAGACCAAATGCCAACGCACATAAAATAAAATAATTTCTTTTTAAAGACGGAAAATGTCAGTGATATTTTATAGGAGAGTAAACCTATGAGTCCACGAAATTTTATTGTTCTTCTACTCTGTAACTCGCTGTATATTTCCTTTAATCTCACTGATTTACATGTGTTTTTTAAATCTGTTACTAAATGGTTGATTTGCTCTCATTCTTCCTTGCCAAATGACCCTTATAACAAATTCACCATATAGTACTGATAACACTGTGTTCTAAAAGAGGTTTAAACTTCTTTTTATCCAAAATAACTTCTCTATTTCCTTTTTGAGTTTTTTCTTTGACCTATTGTTTACTTAGGAGTACATTATTTAATGTCCATAAATTTCCTTCAATCCCTTTTAATTTCACTCCATCATATAAAGAATAGTATAGTTTCAATCTTTTTGCATATTGACTTGGTTTTTTGCCCTCCTCTTTATAAATTTCAATAACATATCAACATTTGCCCCTTATTTTAAAAGCATGGCACATAGAAACATTCTGGTAAGAAATATATAAGGCTGGTCTAAAAGGCTATCAAGCACAGAGGCTTGTCTTTTGTGGGACTTAGATATTCATCTACTTGGCGTGTGTGTGTGTGTGTGTGTGTGTGTGTGTGTGTGTGTAGAGTAGATTCATTAAGTGAGGAAGAAGTCCAGGGATGGGAAAGGAGAAATATCCCCTTGTGGCGTCTATAGCGGTTGTATTACAGTTTGACTATTAAAACACTGCCACTAGAGGCAACTCAATCTTCAGTCTTATTCTCGCCTACACGCAGAGTAGGTATATATAGGATAGAGGATGAAAATCCTAGCCTCCTAATCCAAATCAAAGGCCTGTTCTCTCAGAAGCCACCCCTCCTCCATTCTGTGGCTACCTAGTAAGCTACTAGGAGTTACCTCTGAATAAAAATCATTATCACCCAGAAAATCCTAAGGGATTAAGGACTCCTTATGAGAGTCTCCTCTCACTTAGAAAATCACAAAAATTTGGAAGGTCTGTATTAAGTGTTGAAAGTTAAAGAACAAAAGAACAAAAAGTTCTCCTACATCTTTCTAACACTGTGTCTACAAAGGTTCTATTCCACTTGCCAGGGGCAAACAAAACAAAACAAAACAAATACTATTTATTTTATTACAACATCCCAGGTGCCTATATTGATTCAAAATGTTACAACTTCTTACTAGATTCTTTTATGGTTATATAAAAGTGCCCTGCTTTGTCTCTAGTAAAAGAATACTATCTTCAAGTCTACTTTGCTGTCAGAAGTAGATGCCTCAGTCTCTTACTGTTTGGGAAGTGGGAAGGAAAACAGGGAATACTCTCTTGTTGTGTATGACACATACTATTTCTTTGTCCGTCCTATATTATTTGCTGAAAGCTAAAGATTTAAAACTGTTTGGCAATCCTGCAAGTCCTTCCAATTCTCTTGTACTTCCTATCATTGAGGTGTTTAGTAGTTTTTCCTGAACAAATCTCTGATATTTAAAGATATCTCAGTCCAGTCATCAGCGGGCCACTGAACCAAATGA